TGTTCGCAGGCCTGCCGGAGCAGGCGGGAGGAGCGGAGAACTGCGAGCATACAATCAAGAACTTTCTCCAGACCCAAATGAAGATACTCGAAGAAACGGTAAACAACATCACCTTTCACCGGGTACATTGCCTTGGAGCTACAAGAGTGGACAGCAGAAGACCTCGTCCCATCGTGTCTAAATTTGAACATTTTAAGCAGAGGGATCTTGTTAAAAGTCACGGAAGAGAGCTCAAAGGAAAAGACTTCAGCGTAAATGACCAGTTCCCTAAGGAAATCCTGGATTGGCGCCGAGTCCTCTTTCCGCTGAGCAAAAAGTTTATACAGGATGGGAAGAGGGCTGTCATCTCGGTGGATAAGCTTTATGTGGACAATAAACTTTACAAGGAGCGAGGAGTGACTGACTGGCTGTATTAGCCCAACATCAGGCCAGACATTTATTATTCTTATCAGGATTCACTGGGTTTGATCACGTCAGGATAAACAGCTGCTAAATCCATACTCTAGATGATGAGATCCCCTGTTCATCACCACCTCACACCCCTATCACCTTTTCTTTTTAGTTCTTTCTTCTTTTTTAACCTGTATCTGTATTTTACTTTCCTCTTTACCTGCTTTAATTTATGCGTCAAATAATACAACCACAAACACTGTTGGATCTTTATTATTATTATTATTATTATTATTATTATTATTATTATTATTATTATTTACTTTTCTGTTATTTATTAACATACTATTTTATACATTTAGTTACTTATTCCATCTTATTCACATGAAGGCGTCACATTTTAGCTACTCACACACACACATCTATGGGTGCACTAAGGTTTGTCTCATGGAACGTACATGGAGCTGGCTCCATAGAGAAAAGAATAAAGATTTTTGATCAGCTAAAGAGAGTGCAAGCAGACGTAATATTATTACAAGAGACTCATAGATCTGCCACATCCGCAGATGAACTTAAAACACCTGAGTTTCCCAGCATGTTCTCTGCCTGCTATAACTCTAGGCAAAGAGGTGTAGCTATTTTAATACACGAAAACATCAATTTCACAGTATTGGACACAGTCTCTGATCCAGAGGGTAGATTTATAATGTTAAAATTATCTGTACAGAACCAAAGCTTATGTATTGTCAGCATATACTGTCCAAATATTGATGACCCTCCATTCTTTCATAATTTTTTTCTCTGTACTCTCCGAACACTTGGACTGTCCACTTATACTTGGAGGCGATTTTAATTTTTGGATGAACTCTTAAACAGACAGGCTCAGTACAGCTGGGACTCAGCGCAATTGGCAATCCACTAATATAGTTAAACAGTACATGAGTGATTATGGGCTTTGTGATGCATGGCGATCTCTTCATCCTAACCATAGAGAGTATACTTTTTTCTCACACGTCCATCACTCTCATTCACGTTTGGATTATTTTCTAGTCAGCAGCTCATTGTTGGCTGACATTTCAGACACTGAGATACACCCCATAGCTGTCAGCGACCATGCTCCGGTTTCATTAACTCTGGTAAATAAGAAGACAATCCCACCAAACAAAAACTGGAGGTTTAATACATCACTGCTTAAAGACGAAGGTTTTATTGATTTTTTTAAAAAGGAGTGGGCTTTATATTTAGAACATAACGACCTGCCTTCTCAATGCTAAATCAATGCTGCACTGATTGTGCCAAAAACAAGTGTCTGGTGTGGATTCAAATAAATTAATTTTGCATATCGATATATGTGATAAGCCATTTAATTTGAAAAAGTCCGTTTCTACTGCTGATTACAAATAGCCTAACAAGTAACTTACTCACCTGGTTCTAGATGCTGAGATTGTAGCTCAGTAAATGTGCTGCTGCTGCGTGATGCCTGGATGAAGACGCTGCAGCGTAAACAAGTAAGAGACGGCATAAGATGTCATGCTGTGTTTAGGCAGTTCTCACGCCCCGCCACGGCCGCGGCGGTGCCGCCCGCCCGATGTGTCGGACAAAGTTGAAATTTTGCTACACCCACACCTAATGTTCTTCTGATAAGAAAATATTAAATTCATATTGTATGTATACTTAAAACTTGAATCGAAGTTCATAAAAAGGCTGCAATCATACTCCAAAAAACGGTAAAAAAAATCTTACATTCTTCATCATCACAGTGACGCTCAACAGGTGTAGAAGACAGTCCCGCCCCCGTGGTGTCAACAGGTGCCTGTCGTGGCTGCAGATATTGTCTCACTGCATCTGGACACGATGATTCAAATGTAAAATTAATTGGTTAAAGTTATGAGATACTGTATTGTGTATGTAAGCAGCTAGCGAGGGTCCGTCCGTGGACCGTGCGTGGCAGGAGAGGCAGTTAGCTACAATGGTAATGCAAAAAGTTATTTTGCCAAATTTATAAAGTCTACATACCTCTACTTTGGGCCCGTTATTTTTCTTCTTCCTTCCTTCGCTTCCAGAATGCTGATCCCGATGGCTTAGGTGTTCTTTTCATCATAAAATACCAAAAGTTTCAACGCGACGACAGGATGTCCTTCTACAGCGCTAACCACGCACGTGATCTACGGCACCCTTAACGGTCAAATACATCGGAGCGGTGGCCCAAGCGGGAGCTCGTCATGCAGCCAGATCATTAGAATTTAAATATTGATGTTTTAATTTCATGTCATTTCAGAGGGGAATTTTGAGTATGTAGAGAGTGCATTTCATATTACAAACATAAATTTAATACACTTTTTTTTATTTTTATTTATTTTTTTAAATGTGCGTCCTATACATCAGATGGCGCCCCAGGCGGCCACCTGTGTCGCCTGTCGGCAAAGCCGGCCCTGACACACAGACATCGCAACATGAAAAGCACAATCTTACTCGACATCTCGGACCGATACACCGGGGACTGTAATGACATGCTGCAGGAGTGCACAGCGCTTGACCCACGATTCAGAAGCCTGTCCCATCTGAATGATGAAAAACGTGAGTCCATCTATGCCCGAATATGTGAAAAAGCTTCAGCACTTCATGAGCAACGCAACCAGGTAGGCTAACTTTTACTGAATTTTTTTTTTGAGGTTTCCTGCTGCATGTGTGTAACTCTGTATGTATGTGCAGGCCAGAGTCTGAAAACTTATTTCTCATGTTTTTTTTTATTAGTCGATCAGAGAGTGAATGAGAGTGATGGACAGAAATGTTTAACTAGTTTTTCTATTTTATTTATTTTCAGACCAGTTACACTGATGAACCACTAGGGCCAGTGCTTCAACATCAGGGGCAGCGGCAGAGCAGGCCAGGGTCATGGTTTAGGCAGCACAGGGAGCAGAGCAGAGCCAGGAAGAGCCAGTAGAAGGAGAAAGGCAGATGTAGGATGTGACACAGCCCCCCCCCCCCCCCCCCCCCCCCTCCACCACCACCAAATAAGACAGTGTTGGAAGATCTCCTTGGGAGCTCCTACACTACTGTTGAGACAGTGCAGACCAGCAGAGGGATTGAAATGGAGATACTCTCCTACAGGAGTGGGGTTCCCATCCCACTCAACAGAAGTCCACTTGAGTGGTGGAAAGTTAATGCTTATGCTTACCCCATACTTGCCAAAGCCTTCCTTTGCATTCCTGCTACATCAGTGCCCAGTGAGCGTGTCTTTTCCATGACAGGAGACATTGTGTCTGCTCAAAGATCACTGATTACACCAGAACATGTTGATATGTTAGTTTTTTTTAAGAAGAACCAGTCCTGAGATAAGTTAAACAAGGGTTAAAGCAGCACTAAGGGTGTTCTTATTTGTGTTTGGCCTGTTAGGCCTTGTGTTTCCCAGTGTGCAACTGGAAAAAAAAAACAACCAAATTATTATACAGTAATATTTTTTCCTTTTTTTATTATTTGATATTGTTTCGTGACTCAGACATATCGAGGTGCATCGTATCGTGAGTAGATCGTCCCATTCCTAGTAAATATTAGTTAACTTGTCATGTTTTAATTGTTTGGGAAATAAATTCTTACTTTTACAAACCAACTCTTTCCATGAATCAAAACGAAGTGTTCACAATCCCTGAATAAACAAAGAATCCAAGAATCTTCTGATTAAGACACCAGACCAAGCAGGTTGATATTCTATATTTATATAGAGTATCACATCTTATTGGTCATAAGTAGAGGCAATAAATTTAGCTCTTAAAGCACTCAATTTACCAACTCCTACACAGCACTAGACAACTATTAACAGAGAACTCTATTCACACCGGTCATAAACTCTCTAGAGCACTTCCGGCCCGTATGGTGAGTGAAACTTCTGGTTGGAATTTCAAAAATATATCTAGTGAAATTGTTTTAGTTAAGATAATCTTGATAATTTTAGTTTTTTTATTAAGGTCATGGTGTAAAAAAGGTCATGGTGTCATAGGTGATCCCATGTTTACCTGGATCTGACTGCATTTGCTTAAAATACCATTCATTACATTAATGTAACTGATGTAATTGTGTTTCTGTAAACAGGAATAAACTAGGAAGTTTATTGAGACAAGATGCTGTGTCTTGGTTCATGTAGCAGTCTACAGCCCCTTGAAACACACACATAACTCATGACTTTTTCAATAATGTCTTCTAGAAATACATAACTTCTTCTGTCCAGGTAACATAGAGCCTTCACGACACAAGTCTTCATTGGTAATCTGCATCCAGGAGTTCAAACTCTGAACCATCTACATCAGGGTTGAGGTCCAGTGTCCAGCATGTTTTAGTCATCTCCCTGCTCCAGCACACCTGATGTTAATCAGCAGGTGACCAACAGTGCGTGATGAGCTGTTGAACAGGCGATTGAATGAGAGGTGTTGTAGCAGGAAAACAACTAAAACATGCTGGATAGCAGACTTCCAGGACCGTGATGACCCACACCTGAATTGGAGCTGAAGCTTTTTCTCAGGAGTTACATATCGAGCTGGATGAAACCGGACTTCTGGGATGCTGGAGGACAGCCCAGAGACATGGACATCAGCATAAAACCAACTAGACACACATTTAACTCATTCTCTTCCACCTTTAATCACATTTTCACACAATTCCAGAGGTTTGTGTTGACAGAACGTAGAATCAACGTCTCTAACACATTTACAGGAGGACGAATGTATTTACACAGAAAATACTGTACATGTCACAGGTGAGCGTCATGTGGTGAGGAAACACGTTTGACCTTCAGATCAGAACCAACCCAGGATCCTGCCAGTCCCAGAGTCTGACCAAAACAAATGTAACAGAAACAGATCTTTGACAGGTTTAAACTTGAGCTGCCAGCTTACATCTAAACAAACAGAACCATTAAAGCCGTCAGAACCAAACCCACTGAAGCCAGTCCGTAGGGCATGGAGCAGACCGGGATTCGTTCACACTCAACAGGATTTCATTCTTTTACCAACATGAGAAGCTTCTGCTTCCTTGAATTGGGTGAAAATGAGCAGAAAATACTTTTGTTCCCTCTTGTTTAGAGTTTTGACCCAAAAAAAAGTTCTTTACAGCTGGATTATTTTCTGGAACACGCTCAAATAAGATAAATATGCCACAGAAATGAGGATATGAGTCTTTAACTGTTAGTGTGATTATCAGCAGCTGCCGACTCATCTCTGATCATTCATCAGGCATGCGGAGGTAAGGTCTAACCGGAACAGGAATAAAAACATCACTCTGTTAAAAATAAACCTTCAGATGCAGAGATGCGCCTGAATGATGGTCAAAACGACATAATGCAGAAGAAACTAAAAGCATATGTGGCTAAGCACACCTAGTCAGGAGGATGAGAAGCCAACAGAAGTGATCCAGGAGCCATCGTCTGGGGTAAAGGGTCCAGCTTAAAACCAACCTGAACGACCTTCTGAGGAACACCAAAGTTCAGCTGAAGAAGCAGCGTCTGAACCCCACAAGCAGCGAGGTCCTGCTCACCTCTTTGTTCCAACGATATGAAAATGTAAACTAAAACCAGTTGAAAGGAGTCGTCAACAACAAATACGAACATCAGCCGCAGGCGCTGGAATGCACGGAGCTAGGAGCCAATCAGAATTCCAGGTCCAGCTGGATTTTGTGCTCAAAGAGAGCGATTAGCAGCATGATGCAGAAGCCCAGCAGGATGCCGGCGTTCTGCAGGAAGAAGAAGCCCCAGTGGCTGAAGCCGTGGTCGCCGGCGTCGTTGTGCAGCATCTCCGGTACCTGAAGGTGAGAAATAACACCTGAAACGTGCTGAAGGAAGGATGTCAGTCACTCAGGGACAGCGGTTCAGAACCATTCTGTTAGGATTTTATTATTATTGTGGCTGAAGATCTGGGAAAATCAAAGGAACAGGAAAAATTTCCTTCAGTCTTTCACAATAAGAGTCTCAAAAATACACATGACCTAAAAACATCTGAGATGTATTACTGTTTTTCTCACCCTGAGCTTCTAGGGATTTGGGGTAATTATTGATAGGTTGTGTTCAGATCCAGTTAGTTTTATGAGCTGGAAGAATAGTTTACACAAGGCATTGTGGGTATTCTAGGTCTTTGCTCTGGTTTAGTTCTGAGTCTCAATAACTATGCAGATACCTTTAACGCAATATTTAAAACTGGAGCATAAAGATGCTGAAGGACCAGGTTCTGTCTGCTTGTGTTGGAACCATCGACATACATATAGGTTGGAACCTGCAGGAGGCTGCCCCCTAGTGGCCACAGACAGAACCACACTCACCATGTCCACGAGCGCCACATACATGAAGAGTCCAGCTGTGAGGGCGAAGATCCACATGCAGATGTTTTCAGCGTAGTGTCCAATCACAATGCCAGTCACCATGCCGAGGTAGGCCATCATGGCCGACAGCACGTTGTAAAGGATGGCCTGGCGCACCGTCATTCCCGCCTTCAGCAGCACCGCAAAGTCACCTGGGAGGAAACAAACGCAGCAGATTCCATCCAGTTCCATCCGTTTGTTCTCTTTGGTTATTTTTTTCCATAGTTCTTTTGTTTTATGGAGTTTATTTTCCTCTTGTTTATCTGATAAGAGCTGATGAGGTGTGGTGCTACACATCACCGTGTGGTACGCTGGAACTACCACCAGGGACAGGAAGAAGCTGCAGCGTGTTGTACGCTCTGCAGAGAAGGTCAATGGCTGCTAACTCTCCTCCATACAGGACCTGTACACCTCCAGGTCATTGAGGCGTGACTCGTCTCACCCTGGACACGGTCTTTTGACTCTCACCCATCTGGCAGGAGGCTCAGATCCAGTCAGACCAAAACCTCTCCCGACAAGAATAGTTTCTTCCCCTCTGCTTTTGGACTCATGAGTGACAATCCTAGGGACGCCCACCCCAGCTGCTTGGTTCCAGTCACATGACCTGTGTTGTGTTTACACCTGAAATGATCCGCTCTGATCAGTGCCTACACAGAAGCCGTTTCTCTAATTATTGCCACTTTATATTAATTATTTTATCATGATTATAATATTACTTCCTACATTTGCTTATCTCTTATTTTTATCTGCTTTTGCACCAAGTACCGCAGCAGCTTCCGAATCTTGTGAATTCTCGCACATATGGCAATAAAACCTTCTGATTCTGATGCAGATGAAATGTTCCAGAGAACAAGCTGAGCCCAGATGTCTGATATCCATGAGCCCAGCGGCAGCAGAAGGAATGCTTCATTTATTGTTCTCAGGAACCAGAGGCGTGACGTCTCATTATACTGAAACCAGGAAGTCTTACCCAACTCGTGAGGCAGTTCGTGACAGAAGACCGCCACAGACGTGCTGAGGCCGCTGGACAGTCCCTCTGTGAAGGCGGCCCCTGCAAAGACACCACGTATTAACCTAAAGACACTTGGGTAGTAGTTCCACCCGATCCGCAGCAGCACCTTACCGATGGCCAGGCCGTCGCTGAAGTTGTGCAGCCCGTCTCCCATGATGACCATCCAGGCGAGTGTGGCCACGCCCGCCTGCTGGAAATGCTGCTCGGAGTAGGAGTGGGAGTGGCTGTGGGGGTGGTGGTTCTGGGAGTGGTGGTGGTGCAGGATGTGGTGGTAGTCGTGGTGGTGGTGGTGCATGCTGTCGGCCTGGCCCACTGTGTCATGAAAATGGGAGTGGCACTTGTTCTCACAATCCTCCGCTGTGTAGGCGTCGGCGCTGGAAGGCCGCCCATAATCTTGCGGCGAAACGATGGAGACCTGCGGTGCCAACATCACCTGCTCCTCCTCTGCCACGCTGCTCGAGTTGTCGCCAAATGTGCTGGTGCCATTGGTCTCCACATCTGCAAACAGAAAAATAACGGGATCACTGACAAAACAAAAGCAAGATAAAAATTTATGTTTGAGGTCGTTTTGCATTTGACTTTGATTACATGCTTTTATTTTGAAAGGCACAGGATGCGTGTGATGACAAAACAACTGAAGCTACTGGAGAACCTGATTATTACTGATCCAAAAATCAGCTTCACCCACTACTTACACCTTTCACAATAAACGCGGCTCGTGTTGAATGACGAGCCACAGTGCATTCTGGGAAAGCGGGGCTTGATATCACAGAACTATGTTGTGATGCTTCTACTGGAAATTTAAAGTGTGTTATATGTGACATAACAGCTTGCCATATCTGCGGCACACTGCTCCTCACTGCTGCAGCCTCTCAGGCCCAAGTACCCAGAATGCACTGTGCTGTGACATCACGCAGCCCCACATGTCTGTGTCGTGTCTCCTCACCTTCCATCGGCTTCAGGTCCTCTAGAGCGGGCTGCTTCCCTGGTTCTTGTTTATCATTCTGGTCCCACTTCTTGTGGACCTGTGAGCATGACGGAGATAATTAATAACTTCCTGTTTCCGTGGCAACCAGAGCCCGGGTTCTCCTACATTCTTTCTATGCATAATTTCAGACTCTTCATCACACCGGTTTAATCTGTTTTACCGACACAAACACCAGGTGACCCTCTGACCTTCTGCTTCTTGTCTTTGTACATTTTCCCGAGTGTCAGGAAGTGTTCGATGAGGAACATGAAGTAAACACCGCTCAGAGCGGTCAGGCCCTTCCACACGGCGTCCATGTTCTCCTCTCCTTCATCGTGAAGATGAGGCTCCTCTACGCTCATCTCAAAGCCCTCGGGGTGATGATGGTGGTGGCTTCCCTGAGACTGATGGGAGAAAGTTCGGTTGAGGTGACGGTGGAACCTAAAGGTCTGGTTTGAGTAAAGGTGGACTAACGTGGGGGATGAGGTGCAGGAAGGCATCGCCGCTCAGCGTGCCCACGGCCAGCGCCACCAGGAAGCTGAGGAGGAACTTGAAGAAGACCCTGTTCATGAGGGGGATGAGGATGACGCCGAGCAGCGAGAGGAGGCTGATGATGGTGATGGAGAGGAAGCCGCCGAGCCACGCTGCCGGTCAGAAATCAGTCAGGATCAGCTGTTAGTGTCTGGTTTTGATTCGTTTACAGAATCATCAGCTGCTTCACGTCTGGTTTTAATCGGTTTAAAACTTAATCTAAATGAAAGCAGCATGTTTTTATTGTGGTTGTTGGTTTAAAATATAAATAAATGCTGATAAAGTCCATTTTAAATGAAAGCTGTTTTCTACAGAAAAACATAACTGAGATGAGATTGAATCTGTGGAACGGAGACATCAGCAGAACTCCACTTGGGCGGGTCTCACCTGTCGAGATGTTCCTGCTGTTCTCACCGCCGCCATCACCGAGCTCGCTGAGGCTGTTGACTGAGTGGTTTCGGTCGCCATGGTGACCGTGAGCATGTTCATGGTGTTTATGTTCTAGAGGTAAAGAAGAGGTTAAATAAAACATCCGGTCAGCTCCATGCTGTGTGCTGATTGGCTCGGAAGATGAAGGCAGAGCTTCGACCTGAACTTTGTTCAAACTGATCCAGGATGACAGAGGGACGAGATGTCTGGTTTTAGTAAGTGAGAGGAAGCGGCTCTTTTAACAGCAGAATCACCATGGTAACCGAGCCTTAACTCATTGCGTGCTTCATGGCCGTGAAGGCTCTGGAGCTAAAGGTGGTTTTCCAGGAACACTATTCAGTAACTCGGCCCGACCACCGTTTCCGAGGGCACGGGTCAGTATTTTCCCTCTACTTTCTCCCCTACTTTAGTCCCTGCACCATTGAGGTACCTGGCACGGCTGAGTCGGGTCAGCATAGTGACTCTGGCCACTGATTGGCTAGGAGGCAGAGTTACTGGTTGCTCCGGAGTTTTCTGCCTCCTGTTTCACTGCCTGCAGCCATTTCCTGGTTCAGAGTCTGAGCAAAATGTCCAGCAACACCACCGTTTTTCAGCCAAGTTTAGTTTCTGTGGAGCGTACGGATTACGGAAAGCCTTCCCCACACGAGAGCAAACTGCTGCGCTAACAGTCGTTCATGCCGTTGCTCAGCAGATACTTTGCTGTGTGTGCCTAATTTTCAAATTTCTGCCTCACGAGGCGCTGAGGTGAAAATCAAGCGGTTTGAAATTTTGGCCTCACAGGAGACAGAAACTTGCCGTGTGTGTCCTTCGTGAGCTGTCGGCTGAGCTGAAGTACTCTAGTGCCCAAACAAAGCGCGTTCTCCGCTCACATGATTCCACGATGGCAGCCCCGTGTCTGCATGTCGGAAAATAAACAAAACAAAACAAACAACAAGCTGGAAATGGAGGAAATGCTTCTACTTGTTTTGTTGTTGAGGCGCCACCATCATTTAAGGGTTAGGAGAGTATGGGTACGGTGGCAAAGAAGGGTCATTCATGCAAGGATTTTAAGCCAATCTACTCAGAGATGCGCCTTCAAGACCCAGAATCCTTCTGACAGCACCGCCGCCTGGATCCTGAATCCTTCAAGAGGGTGGTGGAAACAGTGGGCCCACCGATCCGCAAGGTACCGTTTGTTTATTTTTCTGACACGCAGACAGGGCAGCAGGCTGCATCTGAACACATCTTGGGGTCATGTGAGCAGAGAACGCGCTTTGATTGGCCACTAGAGTATTTCTCTCAGCCGGCAGCTCACGTAGTGTGCGCAAGGCAAGTTTTAGCCCTCGTTAGGCGGAAAGTATCAAGCCGGTTTGACTATTACCTCAGCGAGGCAGAAAACTCCGTGAAAATTAGGCGCACACAGCGAGGCATCTCCAGTGACGTTAGCTCAGCGGGCTCTACACTTTATTTTGGGCTGACTCAAACCACGCTGTACTGAGCTGTTTCAGGATGATGCTCGTGGAAAACTAGCTTAACTTAAGGAAATGAGCATCTGGAGTCTAAAAGCTGCAGGAGGACGTGGTCAGTAATAATTTGTTAATCCAGATTAACCCATAATCAGCCCAGTCAAGGATAACCAATAAACCACCTGGGAGAATTATTGTCCAGGTCTCGGACGGACCTGGTACTGATTCTTCCCACACCCGGCTCCCCTGTTGAAGGTGTGTTTGTTTTGGGTTCACGTCTCGTTTCTGGTCAATCATCTCTTTAAAAACACACCGAAGATCTCAACAAGTTTAACTTCAGCCACGTTTATCTTCCCTCGTGCCGATTTACCCGAGTCAGCTCCTAGTCGCTTTCCGACGTTCCTACTGCTCTCCTGGAGTCGGGAGGAGGAGTCTCCGTGCACGATGCACGCCCCCCTGTCAATTTGGTTCAGGAGGGCAGGGCAGAGGTAGCTGAAGTCTCTGAGGGCGACGCCCACTTCCTGAGACATCCCGTGTGAGGCGAGGAGGCTGGAGGCGTTCAGGCACTGCATGGAAAACACAAACATCGTTCAGGTTAAAGAACTGAAAAACCAGAGAGGATTCTGGGTCAGAGCTTTGGGTCGGTTTGTTTAAAACAGTCAGAGAGGAGAAAACAGCCTGAATATTCCTTTTTCTACACATCTGAAGTTAAACTACGTCTGAACTGTAAGTTTTGGTTTTAAACTTTAAACATGGAGCTACGGTTTGAGACTGCTGCTGTGTCTCCAGTTTACAGGTCTGATCTGATATTCCATACTGCACCTCCACCTGGTCGCTCCTCCAGGTCGAACCATGTGGAACCAGAACTCTGAGGATCTAATCGGACCCGTCTGGGCCCAATCCTGCTGCTGTAGGTGAAAAAAAACTAAAACCTGTCAAAGTTTTGTTTTAATATTGTTTCTCAAACAGCGCAGAGTTTCTGAGGAAAACTTTTAATCTAATATTTTATCATCAACCTCAGTTTGGAGAAACAGAGATCAGAGAAGCTACCATTAAACTCCAGTAGGACCAGTTACTGAGCCGTTTACCACCATTAAAACAATAAACTCTGAAACACCATGACAGTAGATCAGTGCTGATATTTAATACATGTTTTGCCTGTCGTACACGGTCATTTAGGTAGGATTCTGTGGTTATTTCCAGCAGAGTTTAGTCTGTTTTTGGTTCCGTGGGGTCCTACCTCAATCCGGTTCAGGCTGCGGTTCTGGAGGTGATCTTGATCATCTGCCTCATCGTGGTCGTCTCGGCTGACTGCAGCCGTCAGACTCTCCGTAGCAGCATCAGTAATCGTCACGGTTTCCTCGGATGAGCGACTCAGTCGAGCAGACCTTCTGCCCTCTGGCTTCACCACCAGCTGGGTTCCGTACTCCTCTGTGGTTCCGACAACCTGAGCAGACGCCACGGAGGGTTTGGCGCCGTGCAGAGAGACCTGAACGTCCAGGTTCTCGGTTCGGATCCCCGCAGCAGAGTTTTCATTTTCAGGACTCTTTGTTGACTTGATGACCTGAACATGCAGGTCAGTGCTGTTGCCATGGTGATGAGGATGGTTGTTATGGTGGTGATGATGGTGGTGGTGATGGTGGTGGTGGCTTGCTTGCTCACGGTGTTTCACCATAACGGCTCTGATCCGGTCGAGGCCCACGTTCTGCAGCAGACGCTTCAACCCCAGCAGAGAGATGGTTCCGTTTTCTCCGTATCTGAGATCAATTCAGTCAAACATGAAGATTTTTCTCAATAACAAAAACTTTTAGCAGAATTAAACAAACAAGATTAAAAAATATGTTACAGATCTTAAAAATGTTTAAGTGTCTCTAAACCTTCCAAACACAAAAAGATCTGTTTTTTTTCCCTGACTCAGCGTTTTGGGCCCAGTTTAACCAGCAGGAGGGGCTGCTGGGAGCTCACCTGTTGAACAGAACCTCCAGGTGTTGCCTCTGGCTCTGCTCGGCTCGCTGCACATCAACAGCAGCCGACAGGACACACGACCCGCCGCCTGGTTCTGTGCTGCAGTCAGAACCAGCCCAAACATCCCCAACAGCACAGAGAAGCATCACAACCAGAACGGCTGCAGTCATGTTCTCAATCATCGTCCCTGAGAGAGGAAACCAGTAGAAACACATTAGCTGAAGGGTTTTACGCCAAATATAAAAACAAACACTTAGCTTCATTCTTCTGCAGCAACAACCGGGTCAAAGGTTACTAAATAAATGTGGAAACAGTGAATTATTTTCATAACAACAAAAACCAGCCTGAATCAGTAGGTTTCACACATGAGCCGGTCAGAAACTCACATCAGTTATTTTAGTTCAGGGTCAGCGAACGCATCTGGAAACCAGAACTGGTGCATCGCCAAAAAAATAAACGTGACACCAGCTTCCTTTCTAAGATCAGTTTTCTGTTGTCTCATCTTTAATTCCTGATCAGGAAAATCAATTTAATTCTACAGGAAAATTTCCACAGATAAAATCTGAAAACAGGAACTAAAAGTCTGGATTTGTTCTGTAAGGCAGAACCAATTCCTTCCTGTGTGATGATTTATCATGTGTCTCTTATTAACAATAAAAGTTTCCTGAAAGTCATTCAACTTGCATCAAAATCAGTTTAGTGTGACAAAACGCAGAAATTCTCAAATTCAGGATCAGCAGCAAAACGAACATTGTGACCCGTCGAGCAAACAAAGATTATCTCTGCTTCAGTTAAGTTATCCGTGTCTGTTATCAGAAGGGAAATGAAGCAGCTAAATCAAACCAAATATCACGTTTTTTCTTCATTTTATCTAAATGACCTCCTGTATTTTACATCACGAATCCTTCAACATCCCATTTGGTTTACTAACACTTAAACTTCACAGAAAAAATGTTTAGTTGTGCAGAAAAAATAAAGTTAACTAGTTAATCAGACAGATTTATAGTATTAGATCATCATTTTATAGAAATATTGTGTCTGCAAACAAAAGAACAGCTGTTGGGACAGGTAAAAACGGATGTAATATAAACCATCAGCAGCTAAAACTAATCTGACAGCTATCTGAGGAATTCTCTAATGAGACAAAATTGGTATGAAAAACAAAACGTATTCAATAAATTCGATTAAAGTTTCCTCTGGTTATTCTCTCAACTCAACCTTTATTTACATAGCACCTTACAGGTATATAAACAGACATAAAAGGAAAATGCGGACATTCATGGGGGAAAATAATTATCCTGATTAGTTAAGCTAAGACGAATTAAAGAGCAGTTTCAAATAAATGTAATCAATGAATCTTGTAACCATCTGCCAGCTGAAACTAAGTAAAACATTTTAATTTGAAACTTTCGTATCGTATCAGTTTGACGGAAGTCTTCTACAAACGGAGCTTCGAAGCCTGTTTCCGTTATTCACGGATCAATACCAGATCAAAATCACCTGGATTATATATTTATTATAATAAATAATAAAAACGCCATCACGGCTGCTCACCTTCCTAAAGGTTCCTAAGGTAAATTAGCCGAGTTAGCCTCGCTGCTAACAACCAGAACATCGCAGTTTCATCAGTCGGTGGACGCTAACAGACGGCACCGACCAGGTGGCTGCGGCCCGGGCTAGGGCCTCGTGCTGCCGCCTAGCCTCCACCTCAATCCCCAGGTAAAAACCAAACCAGCTTATCGCGACCACGCGTGTCGGTGTTTCACCAGAGGTAAACAGAAACACGTTTTGTGCGCTCTGCACCAAGCCCGGTGCCGTGTGCACAAAGACGACAAAACCCGGAAACTGAGCGGTTCCGCTGCCGCCGAGCGGAGCGACCAGAGCGTAAGAGCGGCGTCTCAAACCGGACATAAAACATACTAAAACGGGCTCCTAAAGGCATAGACAGGCTTACAGTGATGGTGAAGGACTCGTCGTGCACTCTCCGGTGGGTCTGAGGGTCTCACGGTGCTGCTCAGTCTCTCGTCTTCTGTCCCGTTGTCGCCGCAAATGAATTAGCTATGCGGCGCCTTCAGAGAATGTCGGAAATCTGAGCTTCCAATTCATCAAACTGGAATGAGAGGAGGAAGAATGTGATCTGACCAAAAATATGACTGGCTTTAAAATGTTTGTCCCCACGATAAGGACATCCCTCGAGTTTACAAAAAAACAAATATAAAAATGTTTTTCTTCATACAGTTTGTATGCATGTGTATGCATATATGTATTTAATTATTCTTTATTTAAGGTCTCATCGAGATTAAAAACCTCATTATCAAGGGAGTCCTAGCCAAGAGGCAGCAAAAGTTAGTTACAAAATGTTTCAGTTAGTCATGTTGGTACAAAATTACATGTATGTTTAATACCGTTGCATGTGTGTATCTGTGTCCTTTTTTGTTGCAGTTTTCTTTTTTCTAAGTTTGTTTTCAAGTTTTTATTCTTCATCCTAATTAGCCCACTGTCTGTCTTCACCTGTATTCTATTACTCTGTTTGTGTATTTGCTTTCTTAATAAGTAACTGGGATTAATAAAGTTCATTCATTCATCTAAATAAATACCCGATTTTCTTTTAGCTTGTGAATTTTACTGCTTTTACTTTTATTTATCTGTGGAATTTGTACTAAAACTGAAGCCAGATGTTAGCATGCAACTTTTCTTTTATAATAACCATAAATGTGGACTCTACTTGTGTTTTGCACCATTGAGTGATATTTAAAATATATTTTAATTTATTATTATTATTATTATTATTATTATTATTATTATTATTATTATTATTATTATTACTGCTACATCAATAGTAAAAGTGACTGCCATGTTATTTTATTTATTGTCTTTTGTCTTCTTCATTTCAGACTACAACTACTGACTAGTTTTCCATCTTTAGTAAAACACAAATAGAAATTCCTAAGGTTGCAGGGAAAATGGGATTATTTTAGCTTTATTAATAAGTTTTATGATTAAATAAATTACTCATAAATAACATTTACATATTTGGAATTTAAAACCTAAAAGTTAAATTATTTTTATTAAACAAAAAGTGCATTTATTTGTTTCTTTCATATCCTTTTTTTCTATGTTTCGCAGGCAAACACAAGTGAATCATTCATTAGATGATGAGCATTCTCTCAATCCTGCTCCCACTGAGAGTAGAGATGGAGCACCTGAACGCACCGCGGAAGCAGCATGAGGACAGAGATGAGCTTCAGGAACACGTGATGATCACGTCTGATCGGAACAAAGGAAGAGCGGGATCGGCTGCAGAACTGATGTTTGATTTCAAGGCTTCTTAAACGTCAGGAACAAATGATTCAGATTATTACGTTTGAACATTAATATGATAATAATCTGCTCAAGTGAGGATCTGACTAAAATCAGCAGAAACAAACTCCATTCATGCATTAATGATCAAATGAAACATTTTCCTGCAGCTCTTCTGTTTCTGCTCAGGTTTGTTTGGTTTTCAGATGAAATGGGATCAGCTGTTAAAGCTTCCCACACACTTGAGATAACAGCTGAGCCCAGATGGATGCATCTGCAGACCTGAGAACGAGCCCACCCTCAACACAAACAGCAGCTTTGCCGCTCTGCCTTTAAACCACTGAAGAGCTCAGAGAACCTGTTTGTACTGGTTTCTCCTGTTTTTGCTTTTGCTGTTGGCTGACGGTGATGATGATGATGATGATGATGATGACGATGATGATGATGATATATCACTGCAGATTGCTGCCTTTTTCATTAAAAATGAATTTTCTCTCAGATATTGTTTAGTTTAACAATTTTCAGCAAAAACGAGAAAATCTGACTGCCCGACCAGGAAGAATTGTGATGAATTCAGGTGGATAAACACTTTAACTCATAAAACATGCTTGCTGGAGTGAAAGGGAAGATGTGAATTTGTGGATTTTACCTGTTGAGGCCCTCAAAGCTCTTCATGATCTTCTCTGAGCCGTCTCACTGCCCACAGCACCAATATTAGCTTTAGCTCCAGGTGAGGCTGATGGGAATGTCCCTGTTTCTGAACATCTGTGGAAAATGGAACAACAAACATCTTCACACACACACACACACACACACACACACACACACACACACACACACACACACACACACACACACACACACACACACACACACACACACACTCACACACACACACACACACACACACACACACACACACACACGTAGTGGAGGCAAATTGATGATCTGTTTTGACCAGGAAGATGTAATATTCTATATAAATATAAAATATTAACCTGCAAGGTCTTTATTGTAATTATTCAGAAGATTCTAGGATTTAATTCAGAAGATCTAGGTTCTTTGCTTTTTCAGTGATCAACCACACTTCGTGTTACTTCAAGAAAGAGTCAAGTTTATAAAAGTAAGAATTTATTTTACAAACAATTTAAAACATGACTAATTAACTAAGCATTAACTGTGATTGGATGGAGCTAAACGTGAGGAAGGAACCTATGTGTGAATGATGTCAGTTCAGAGCTTCCTTATCAAAATAAGCTGAGTTCTGGTGAAAAGAATTTGGTTTGCTTTGAGCAATAAAGTGGTTATCATCAGAAGAACATTCAGACGCAATCTGTCATGTCTACTTCACTTGTTTCAGAGACCCTCTTGGTGGATCTGAAAGTCAAAGGGGTCGGCTGACCGCTAGCACCGGAGGGCTGTATAATAGCGAGGTACCGACTCTTCAGTCCAGAGATGTCTCGGGTACAACAGATGGATGGAACCTTGCATCTGGCGGACTCTTAAGGAGTCTAACGATATCAGCTTTGTTTATGCAGGAACTGTTTGCTCATCAGCTTTGCAGGTGCAAAAAGGTTTTGACGACGTGTCAAAATCTTTGATGGTTAAAGAGGTTTTGCTTCAGATGGCCGGTCTGAGCAATTCTCTAGACCTGTCGAATCTCTCAGATTAAGGTTTATCTGTTATGATTTGAACAGCCAATCAGAAGCTGACAAGTTTGGAGAAGTTTTACCAAGAGAACTCAGAAACACGCCTTCTTGATACAGGATGCTCTGACTGGGTTAATATATTATATGTGTCAGGATTTAACTTAGCCGTACTTGTTATGTGTGAGTGCAGGTGTGGAACCTTGTCGTCAAAACACGGTGAACACATGGCAGGTTCTAGTAGATGTAATGTTAAATAAATAGTGTGTTTGGTTAAGTAAGTTGCTTTAAGAGCTATTTATATTATTAACACTACTTGTGACCAATAAGTGGTGATCCTCTATTTAACTAAAATTCAATTCAATTCAAAAATACTTTATTAATCCCTGCTTGGTCTTATTGTTTTAGTCAGAAGATTCTAGGATTCTTTTATTCATTAAGGGATCGTACACTCTTCGTTTGATTCAAGAAACAGTCAGGTTTATAAAATTTAAGAATTTATTTTACAAACAATTAAGACTTGACAAATTGGTTAAACTATTATCTACTGTGAGTGGATGTGAACTAAGGATGGTGTCTGGAACTTATGTATGAATATAATGTATTCAGAGTCTCCGTACCTCAGAAATCTGAGTTCTGGATGGACAGAATTAGGCTTGCAAATAAGCTATAAAGATGTTATTATCAAAACCACATACAGACGCTATCTCGCTGTGTTCTATCTCACCCGTTCTGGAGACCCCCGTTTGGATCCGAGATGTCAAGGAGCCGACGACCCCGCTACACGTGGTTCATAGAAAAACCTCGATGCGACCAAATCAGTCCTGGGATGTCTCCAGGTCACAACGATAGATGAAACCGAGCGTCTTAAAAATAACTCTGAAGGAGTTTGCGTCAGCTTTGTACTGCAGGTACTATCTTGTTGTTCTCAGCTTCGCAGGTGCGAAAAAGGTTTAAGGTTTTGACAACGTGTCAAAATCCTTCTGGTTAAAGAGGCTTTCGCTCAGATGGCCGGTCTGAAGCTTTTCTCTAGAACCCTCGAACTGTTGAACTGTTCGAACTGAGGGAAAAACCAGAGCTGGCTAGTTTTAATGGATTGATGTTATGATTGACTAACCAACCACAGGTTGACAAGTTTGAAGATATTACTAAGCATCTCAGAGACACACCCTCGTTGATGTAGAGACTCTGAATCTGGGCAAAAGGTTATCCATGTGTCATGCGTTAACTTAGCTCATCAACCAGGCTCCACCAGCAGCCTCCACGCCCAGCAGCCAGGCTCACCAGCAGCCTCAAGGCCCAGCAGCCAGGCTCCACCAGTAGCCTCCACGCCCAGCAGCCAGGCTCCACCAGTAGCCTCCACGCCCAGCAGCCAGGCTCCACCAGTAGCCTCCACGCCCAGCAGCCAGGCTCTCCAGCAGCCTCCAGGCCCAGCAGCCAGGCTCCACCAACAGCCTCCAGGCCCAGCAGCCAGGCTCACCAGTAGCCTCCACGCCCAGCAGCCAGGCTCCACCAGCAGCCTTCAGACACAGTAGCCAGGTTCCACCATCACCTCAATACCAGCCACCTGATCCAACAATCAGGCTCAGCCTGGGGCTCCAGGCTCCAGATTCACCGGCAACCAGGACTGAGAGAGAGGTAAGCCTAATACAATGGCCCCTCCTAGAAAAACAGAGAAACTCGAGGAAGATATGGAGGAAATTAAAAAATCATTGAATTTTATGTCAGCCGAGCTGTCTAAGCTAACAGTACAACAGGATCAACTACTGTCATTAATGGATGAGGTCAAGACACTGAAATTCAAGCTTGCAGAAAAGGACAAGAAGATCATGGTATTGGAACAGAGGGTGGATGAACTGGAGCAGTATACCAGAAGGGATGACTTGGTGATAACTGGTTTGGAAACAAGACATAGGACTTATGCCAGAGTTACTGGAGATAGAAACACAACTGAGGATGCTCCACAGGAAGAACTCCAGTCACTAGAACAACAAGTGTTGAGCTTCTTGCACAGTAAGAACATTCATATCCAAAGTGATGCAATATCAATCTGTCATACCCTTCCGAGAAAGGCAGACAAATTAAAACCAGTCATCATAGTGCGGTTTGCCATTAGGAAGTACAGAAATGAGTTGTTGAGGCAAGCAAAAAAACTGAAAGGTACAAATGTGTACATAAATGAACAACTGACGAAAAAGAATGAAACAATAGCCAAAGAAGCAAGGGTGCTGAGAAAACAAAAAAAAATCACAGCCACGTGGACAAGAAATGGTGTTGTATGGATTAGAGAGCAAGAAGGTCTAAATGCAAAAATGATCAAAGAGTTGAAAGATCTGGAAGTGCTGCAGGGTAAAAGATGATTTATTGTGTAGCACTGACTAAATAATGGATAGTGGAAACAGTTTAACAATGGATAAGGAACTACAAATGAATTCATAAAGAATAAATGGATTCCCATGAGAAAATATATGAACTTGACAGTAAAATAGACGAAAGTTTATTTGAGTTAAATATAAATAGTAATTATTATGCAGAAGATCAGCTAAATAGTGGGTTAACTAACAATGATTCATTATCAATCATACACATAAACAGTAGAAGTTTAGTTTCCAAGATGTCAACAATAAAGGACTATTTAGGTAAATTTAAAAGTAAATTCAAAGTCATTGCCATTACTGAGACTTGGCTTTATGATGAAAGGATGACTGAAGTACAAATAGAAGGGTATGAACTTCATTTTGTAAATAGAATAAATAAAAGGGGTGGTGGTGTTGCCCTGTACATTAACAATGATTTAAAATGTAAATTAGATAAGAAAATGACTATGATGGAAGATAATGTTATGGAAATGGTAACAGTGGAAATTATCAATGACACATCAAAAAATATAATAATCAGTTGTGTATATAGTGCACCGGGTTCTTGCATCAGGTCATTTACAGATAAAATAAATGAGTTTGTGGATCATATTAAAAACAAAACATTGTTTATGTGTGGGGACTTTAACATTAACTTAGAACATCCTGTGGCTCTTAGAACATCAAGTGATTTTTTTGATATGATATATAGTTTAGGTTTGGTTCCTTTGATAAACAAACCTACCAGGATCACAACCGAAAGTGCAACAATAATTGATAATATATTCACTAATAGAAAGGAGGACGTTGTTAAAACTGGGATATTGATGACAGATATTAGTGATCATTTACCTATTTTCGTAGTGTCTAAATATCACAATAACAATAAAAATATCATAAAACATAATTGTATTAATTATAAAATAAATAAATCAGTTAAAGCCCTGGAGGACCTAAATAAAGATCTTAAAATGCAGAACTGGATGGAAGTCTATGTCAGTGATGTGAACAATGCATATACATCCTTCATGAAAATACTGCTGAAATCGTTTAACAGTAGTTGTAAATTAATTAAAATAACAGGTAAAAGGGACAACCAACCATGGATGACTAATGGAATTAAAAATGCATGTGCCAAAAAAAATAGTCTGTATATGAGATTCTTAAAGTTACAAACAAAGGAAGCCGAAGACAGATATAAAAAATATAAAAATAAATTAGTAACAATAATTAGAAAACAGAAGAAAGAATACTATGGTGAGCTATTGAATAAGAACAAAGAAAACATCAAGACTACATGGGGAATAATAAATAATGTGATTAACAGAGATAATACAAATGCGAGACTCCCAAACTACTTTGTAAAGGACAATAAAGACATTTATGAAGTTAAAGAAATTTCTAATGAATTCAATGATTTTTTTATAAATGTAGGAAGGAGTCTGGTGGAAAGCAAACCAATAATTCACGATACAATGAATACAATACCTAGAAATGTCAATAGTATTCTCCTTGACAAAGTAGATCAACAAGAAATAAGAAACATTGTAAAAAAACTGGGGAAGCAAAAGATCAACTGATTGTGATGATCTGGACATGGTGACTGTAAAAGCTATAATTGAATCTGTTATTGAACCATTCACTTACATCTGTAATCTGTCACTATCTACAGGAGTCTTCCCTGATTTAATGAAAATTGCCAAGGTGGTTCCATTATTTAAGAGCGGTGATAAACAGAGTTTCACTAATTACAGGCCAGTGTCACTGCTTCCACAGTTTTCCAAAATATTAGAAAAAGTGTTTGCATTAAGGTTGGACAAATTCATTGACGAAAATTCAATTTTAAATCATGAACAGTATGGCTTTAGGACCAAACATGCAACAGCAATGGCAGTTATGGATTTAGTAGATAAAATTTCATCAGCAATTGACAATAAAAACCATTTCATTAGTGTTTTTATTGACTTAAAAAAGGCATTTGATGTCATTGATCATTCAAGGTTACTTCTTAAATTACACCGGTATGGAATAAGAGGGGTGGCGCATCAATGGGTTAATAGTTATTTACGCAATAGAAAACAGTTTGTTCAAATAAATAATGCTAAATCTGAATTAAAAGATATTTATTATGGTGTACCACAAGGGTCAGTCCTCGGACCTAAACTGTTCATATTGTTTATTAATGACCTGGTAAATGTGTCGAATTTACTTGGCACAGTTTTATTTGCGGATGATACTACATTGTTTTATTCAGGATTAAATATACATGAAGTAACTCAAGTGATAAACAGTGAATTGATTAAAGTTAAAAAATGGTTTGATATAAATAGACTGTCACTGAACCTGAACAAAACAAACTATATACTGTTTAATAACAGAAGAAGCTGTGATATATCTTTAATGATAGATGGAATGGAAATTCAAAGGGTAAAAGAAACCAAATTTCTTGGAGTCATGTTCGATGAGAGTCTCACGTGGAAATCACATGTAGGTTATATAAAGGGGAAAATTGCCAAAGCCATAGGGGTATTATATAGAGTCAAGTTTCTACTAAATTTGTCGGGGTTGTTAACATTGTATCACTCACTGATTGAACCATATTTATTTTATTGTTTAGAAATTTGGGGAGCCACTTGCAAAACTTTTACACAACCATTGATCATTTTGCAAAAAAGAGCATTGAGAATCATTAATAACAGTAACTATAGAGATCACACTAATCAATTATTCATTAGATACAAAATACTGAAATTTCCTGACTTGGTAGAGTGGAAAATATTGCAAATAATGTACAGAGCGAATACAAGTAATCTACCAACTAATATTCAGAAAATGTTTCATAAGAGAGTAAGTGGGTACATGTTAAAAGGAACGGATGTCTTTGAGAAACCTAGATTCAGAACCAAAGTGAGGGAATGTAACATTTCTGTAAATGGTGTAAGATTGTGGAATGCCATTAACAAGGAATTTAAAGAATCAACTACACTTGCAATATTTAAAAAATGTATAAAATCTAATGTATTTAGTAATTATGAAAAGAAGAATTATAATGTCAAAGATTAGACGTGAAAATATTATAAAGTGACCGAGGTTATATTGTGTTTGTTTGGCGGATAATTTTATTTCGTAAAAAGGGGCAGAAATCATAAGATTTTTTCTTCTGTCTGCTCCTTTTCATTCAAATGTTTTTTTTTTCAATATGTTAATGTATCCTGTATTTGTTTGTGTTTATTTTATACATTGTGAATGAAATAAAAGATTAAAAAAAAAAAAAAAAAAACTTTACTTTGTTTTTGTATGAGTGTGGAAATGGTGATGACCTCATCCAGTAAGCATGCTGAGCATATATCATTTAACAGATCAATGAATATTTCATTGTATATAATTATAAAATCTTCTTTCTTCTGGGAATAAAGGAGTTCATTTAAAAGAGTTTCTCTGTGAAGGACCTTGGAGGAGAGAGAATGCTATTGTTTATCCTTTATTATCTCTCGGGCTCTGATTCCAGCTGGTGTGAGGAAGCAGGCTCTGATTTAAAGGGACTACGTGTAGACATCCAGGCTCCTGTGAGGGGAAAACACTGTAGGTTGTGTCATAGCCAGGTTAAGTTGACCTGGCTGTAGATCTTGACCTGTGGGATCTCAAAATCAGGCCATTTCGTGACGTTACATGGACAACATAATATAACATCCATTCAGTGTGCACAGATTAATGAAGCATTTCATTATACTATAATTATTATACATACTAATAAACAAATCTTTATTTAATGATTATCTAGATTATACGTCATAGAAGAAGTTCATATTGATTTATTAAATCATTCTTGAGTTTAGCAACTGATTCGAACTGGAGTTCTTCCTTCTTCTGGAGGCAGACAGACGGGACCTTGGGGAAAGAAAGTTATTGTTTATCTTTCAGACTAGAAGAGTCTGTGAATCCTATGGGATTAGATTTGTGCCAATAGGATCAAGAAAAACACTTTGGAGAGCAAACAAATTTTAAGACATTGAGAGAAAAAACATTGGTTTCAAAAGAAAAACTTACTATCTGAATCAGATTCTTAAAATGATCAAGAAAAACACTTTGACAGTCAAACAAAAATTAAGAAATTGACAGAACAAAAATATTGACTAAAGGAAAAAAAAAAACATGTTTCAAAAGTAAAACTTACTATCTGAATCAACTTCTTAAAATGAGTAACAAAGTATGTTTCCTTTTTCTGTTTGCCTCTATGTGTTTTTGTTATCAATTTCCTTAGTTTTGTTCTCGCTGCTCAGAGCTTTGCTCTCACTACCAGATTTGCACTTACACTGTCTGGCTTTCTCCTTTGCAATCCCTGAGTTTTTGGTTGCAATTCTGACACAACCCTTTCGGGTGGGCGGGACTTCTGAGAAATCCTCTCCCATAGGACAGTGGTTTCTCTTGAGTGACAGTTCAGTGACCTGGAAGTGATGTAGCCTCCCAGACATTTTTTTTTCCCACCTGGTCAACAACATGAATTTTGAGCCCCAAACAGGTTATTTCTGCTGTCTGTGGTGTCTACTGAGGATCTAAAGTGAGTATTGATAATATATTTTATCTTTTCTTAGTTAATCTGTAAGTTAAGCCACTTTTTAAGTTGGTTTTAACCAGACGCTAGCTCACTAGCTAGCTGCTAAGCAAGCCATTGTGCTAGCCTCAGGACAATGGTCTACTGTTCCAGAGAGACGTATTAAAAACATATCTTAACATATTCATTACTGGTTTCATGGAATAAATTATTGCAGTTTATGTTAATAAGTTTGCTAATTTTTCAGGAACCTGTGGAACATCAGAGACTTTGCAGCTATTAGAGCTAACCTGTGTACTGCTAACTTGCTACAGAGGAAGCAGCAGAAAGCTGAGCTAACAGGCTGTTTTGCAGGTAAATACTCTTTTAGTGGAACTGCAGGACTTTTATGGTATAACTCAGACAGAATCTACATGAGCTATTGTGGGAAGACATTTAAACTACAATTACATACAGATACATGTATTTTTTATTCCATGTTACTTGGACGAGCTAAACAAGTTCATAGTTCTGCCTGCTCCTTTTTCAGTGAAACGAATGGATTTTATGATGTAACTCTGACTGAATAATTATCTAAGTGAGTGTGTTTGATAATACATTTCTTTCCAGTATACAGATCTGACATTTGTTTGTCAGAACAAGACAAATCAGATTCAATGTGCTTTCTGTCACGTGCTCTGTATTCTCCATCAAAAGAATGTTATCCAGGACAGATAATCAATAATGAGTTAAATACATGCTTTTAATTAATTTTTACATAAAATCTATATTTTTGTCTAAAAGCTATTATTTATTTGTTTATTTATTCATTCTTTTTAGATTGAAAACTACTGCATTGCATTACAATGGAAGTGCTACACAGCCACATGCATCAACTGCAGCTGGTGAGCTAAGACACACCATAGTGTACACAAAGTACACTGCAGACAAGGGATGTAAGAAAATATCAATATGACAATATATTGCGATATATTTTCCCAGTAATATTGTATCGATATTCTCAAACTGTGTCTCTAAAATATCAATATGACAATATATCGTGATATTTTTTCCTGAGATATTACATCCATTTTCAGAAGCAGTGTATCTAATTTTTGGAAGAATTTACAAGCAAACATTTGTGTATTTTCTTTGTTTTTGGTGCATTTTAAATGTCGCCCGCTAGTTGGCAGCAGTGTGCATTGGGTTTTGTTTCCACCATTGAAATTTAAATCTCGATATTATGGTTCAGATAACTCATGTTATATATGTTAAGTATCAGTTTGGACTGTTTATTGAATATTCCTACAATAAATTCTGTCAAAAATACACAACCCTACTGCAGACCAATCCCACCTCATGTAGTTCATATGCTGTATAATAAACCCACAGTGATGGTTATGGATAAATATCTGTACTAATGGTAATCTTTTTCCATTGTTTCCTGTTGACAAGCACATTGTCAACAGGAAACAACCTATTGTTCGAGTCCGTGGTGGTGGATGCTCTATCATATCAGGAGTCTGTGGTGGTGGATGCTCTATCATATCAGGAGTCTGTGGTGGTGGATGCTCTACCATTTCAGGAGTCTGTGGTGGTGGATGCTCTATCATATCAGGAGTCTGACTAAGTACCTGTGCCTGAACCTCTCTGTGTCTAGTTCAAAAGACCTGAAAGACCTGCTGTAAGCAGGCACAGGTTAAGATTTTAAAAGAACCTGTAAGGTGAGCAACACAACACAATATAAATCTTTATTATTATTGTACGCTGTACAGTTAGAATAAACTTGCATGCTCAGAAGCCACGTATGATTACATCGCCTACAGGTTGCCTGATGCTGAACTTCGGGCAGCTGCGTGTGACTGTACTCCCGAGGAACAACCGCCTGTGGGAGGAGTCGTTGTGTTGCTGTTAGGAGTTTGGGTCGGAGTCCTGGGTTTGTGTTCCCTTTAATCTCTTCCTTAGCCTTGCTAGTCACCATTGCAGAGCACCATGGAGAGGCTTACCTGAAAACTCTTCTCATGGGGCAGGCACATCCTCACACACCTGTAACCATCCTTGAATAAAAGCTGGTAGCTGGTCACTCAGAGTGTTTTAACCCATATCTAGCCCATGACTCTGCCGTTTTTCAAACTTACGTTCTCATGTTCTATGCAGATCTATGGGAATTCTTTCCTTGAAGCTCGTGATTCCACAACCATACTGGCAGTCGGCTTACCCACTACCTTCTGCTCACCCGCTTGCAACTCATGCTGTCATTCTCCCAGACTTCTGGTGGTTTCTCCACCATTCTGCTGTCTCCCGTCTGCGCTACAACTTCAGACCGTAAGTACCTAAACTTTTCCTTTTGTAAATCATTCTTTAGTCATTACTAACACTCAATTTTACCTCAGGGCCTTCTGATCTTTAAACACTAAAACCTGTGGCTCCATCTCTGTGGCGTTTCTCAGTCTCTGTAAGCTACCTGCACAGTCTAAGAAAAACCTGACCTGTTGCCTCTTACTAACCTCTGCTCTTCCTCGCAGAAGCGTCTGGTTCCTGATCTCCAGTTGTTACCTCTTCAGTCATCTGTCAAACATTTTAATAAACTGTTTTTAGCTCAATTGTCTCCTGAGTTTCTCTGCATGAAGGTCAGGTTGTTGCAAAAATCATGACATCAGCAATTACTTTGCACCACTCTGTTAAACAACTGATATTAATTTCAAGTGTATCTTTAAAAATACATTGAATGTCAAAGTGAATGAAAGGCATCCATTCAGCTTTCGGTGTCTAATGCAGGATTTTATGGACAGGCACCAAAACAGGAAATTTATAAATTGAGATTTATTTACTAAATCAGGTAAACCATAATAAAATACTAATGTTTAAAGTCCGGAGGAGGGAGGAAGGCTTTATAGCAGGGGTATTCAATTCTAGTCCTGGATGGCTAGTATCCAGCACATTTTAGTTGTTTCCCTGCTCTAACACACTTGAATCAGTGGTTGAATTACCTGTGCAGCAGCTCTGCAGAAGCCTGTTAATTATCTGCGGACTGAAATCAGGTGTGTTGAAACAGATTTAAAACTAAAACGTGCTGGATACCGGCCCTCCAGGCCCAGAAGTAAATACCCCTGCTTTATAGGCACAGAGAACTCCCATCAGGATCCTGGAGACGGCACAAGGAGATGATGACATGAGTGTGCTCTCCCAGATCACACCAACACCACCTGACCACATGGAGGCATGTGTCTGTAAGAAAGAAAAACTGGTGATGTATGAGATCTAAACAAAAACTACGAACAAAATGAATTTTACAGTTGTTTAACCTGCTGAGCATCACCTCCCCAAAGAGCAGCACAAAGGTGCAACTGGCTCAGAACCAGGGTGCTCCGTAATGCAGGTAGTCACCTCCTCCTGCTGACACCCGAGGATTACCTACAACAAAGGGAAAACTGATATCAATAAGGAATAATTAAATCAGAGCTAAAAGTTTAATTTTAGTGTGACGTTTGAGATTGTGGGAAATAAATGTGGACATTATGATTTTCAATTGTGGGGTCAGTACCTTGGGCGTTTGTAGCAACATTTTGTCTGGCTGACAATGAAGTAGAAAAGTCACCAGTTGAGGCAGAGTTAGACTATATTACTCCAGCTAAGCTAAATGTAGCTAAACTAGACACTAGTCACCAGACTATGGTTACTATAGATTTACTAGAGAGTTACATCATAAAATCCATTCGTTTCACCGAAAAAGGAGCAGGCAGAACTATGAACTTGTTTAGTCCGCCCAAGTAACATGGAATAAAAAATACATGTATCTGTATGTAAATGTAGTTTAAAAGTCTTCCCACAATAGCTCATGTAGATTCCGAGTTATACCATAAAAGTCATGCAGTTCCACTAAAAGAGTATTTACCTGCAAAACAGCCTGTTAGCTCAGCTTTCTGCTGCTTCCTCTGTAGCAAGTTAGCAGTACACAGGTTAGCTCTAATAGCTGCAAAGTCTCTGATGTTCCACAGGTTCCTGAAAAATTAGCAAACTTATTAACATAAACTGCAATAATTTATTCCATGAAACCAGTAATGAATATGTTAAGATATGTTTTTAATACGTCTCTCTGGAACAGTAGACCATTGTCCTGAGGCTAGCACAATGGCTTGCTTAGCAGCTAGCTAGTGAGCTAGCGTCTAGTTAAAACCAACTTAAAAAGTGGCTTAACTTACAGATTAACTAAGAAAAGATAAAATATGTTATCAATACTCACTTTAGATCCTCAGTAGACACCACAGACAGCAGAAATAACCTGTTTGGGGCTCAAAATTCATGTTGTTGACCAGGTGGGAAAAAAAATGTCTGGGAGGCTACATCACTTCCAGGTCACTGAACTGTCACTCAAGAGAAACCACTGTCCTATGGGAGAGGACTTCTCAGAAGTCCCGCCCACCCGAAAGGGTTGTGTCAGAATTGCAACCAAAAACTCAGGGATTGCAAAGGAGAAAGCCAGACAGTGTAAGTGCAAATCTGGTAGTGAGAGCAAAGCTCTAAGCAGCGAGAACAAAACTAAGGAAATTGATAACAAAAACACATAGAGGCAAACAGAAAAAGGAAACATACTTTGTTACTCATTTTAAGAAGTTGATTCAGATAGTAAGTTTTACTTTTGAAACATGTTTTTTACCTTTAGTCAATATTTTTGTTCTGTCAATTTCTTAATTTTTGTTTGACTTCCAAAGTGTTTTTCTTGATCATTTTAAGAATCTGATTCAGATAGTAAGTTTTTCTTTTGAAACCAATGTTTTTTCTCTCAATGTCTTAAAATTTGTTTGCTCTCCAAAGTGTTTTTCTTGATCCTATTGGCACAAATCTAATCCCATAGATTCCCAGCTGGTGTGAAGGCAGACTCATTTTAAAAGGAACACATGCATTACTGTAATGGTCCACCAGGGGGAGACTCTTGAACATCAGATCCACTTTAATCTGAATAAAAACCGTGGTTTCTGTGGAATAATCAGTGACGTTTTAGGATACGTTACTATTTCATCCCTCTTTGTCTCATCTGATGTGAAACTTTCACTTTTTCAAACTTTACTGATATTTTAACCATCAAACAAAGATTTTCTAACAGCTGAAAGAATTTTTGCATCATAAAACAAGACTGAAGAACATTTTAGGGAATATTTTCTAAACAAAAGTCCTACACTTCCTGACCAAACCAAGAGACTTTTATTTTTCAGCCCTTCCGAGTTTCATAAACTTTCCATTAAAGTTCTTTGGCAGGATGGATGTGATCAGATCAGCTTAACAGGAAGTGATGAAATATCTGCGGACCGGTTCTGGTTCTGTTTGCTGTTTAACATGACAGCTGGGTCCAGTGGGCTCCTCCTCCTGAATAACAACCAGAACATCCTGACAGCGTCCTCATTACGTTCCCTCTGATCAAAGACTCCACAAAGTGGATCCTCACTGACCCAAAGCAGATTCTGGGATTATTATAAATTCATGAGCAACGCCTGATTTAATCAGGATCACCGACCCGGGAGGGTTCTGGTTCTTCAGATCCTGTGTTTCTTACCTCAGACTCAAAATCTTCTTCTGGGTTTTAGTAAAATCCTGCAGACAGGAAACGGAAACTTGTGCAAACTGATTCAGAAATAAAGATTAGAAATCTGCTTTTACTTTAATCATTAAAACATCAAATCAGTGATGGTTTGGATGAAGAGTAAAGAGTTTTATCGTTGGTCTACGTTCCTACCTTCACCTGTGGCCATGAGCTTTGGGTAGTGACCGAAAGAACAAGATCGCAGATACAAGCGGCTGACATTAGTTTTCTCCACATCGTTCTCCCTCAGTTAGATGCTCAGTCATCTGGGAGGGGCTCGAGTAGATCCGCTGCTCCTCCACACCGAGAGAAGCCAGTTGAGGTGGCTCGGGCATCGAGTTAGGATGCCCCCTGGACGCCTCCCTGGTGACGTTTTCCGGGCACGTCCAACCAGGAGAAGACCTAAAGGAAAACCCAGGACACGCTGGAGGGACTATGTCTCTCAGCTGGCCAGGGAACACCTTAGGATTCCCCCGGAGGAGCTGGCCTAAATGTCTGAGGAGAGGGAAGTCTGGTTCTCCCTGCTCAGGCAGCTGCCCTTGCGACCTGACTCGGGATAAGTGGATGATTTCCTAAACCTTACACAAGGATGGGCATGGAGTTCCTCCCACTTTACTCTCCTTTCCTCAATCCGATAGAGGAGTTTTTCTCTGCTTGGAGGTGGAGAATGTGTGAGCATCATGCTCAGGATCAGCTGTCCCTGCTCCATGCTGTGGACGCAGCGTGTGACAACATTACAGGAGATCAATGCAGAGGACGGTTGCGGCATGCACGCCGTTTCTTCCCTCGTTGCATCGCAAGAGAAAGTATCCGCTGTGATGTGGACGAGAATCTGTGGCCAGACGGACAACAGCGTGTAAATAATCAGGAGGGTGAAGACAGTGGACAAGAGCAGGAGAATGAGTACGGCGACCACTGAATACGTCCTTGCTTTTTAAATTTTGTATTCATACAATTTACTGTATTACTGTACTGTACATTTTCTTTTTACATATGTATGAAACTTTCTTTGCGTGTGAATAAAAAATTGTTATAATTTCCTTGGTAGTGTGAGTGCAATCTGCGATGTCAAACCTTGGAGGCTATTCTTTTCGGTTGTATATCGTTGGTCCTCTGCCGTAGTGACAAAACATCTAAACATTTGTATGGCAGTACTCACACAATGCCAAAGGGACGATGCATTTTGGGGGCACTGACTATTCAAATTAGAAAGAAATGTAGTTTTGACACGTGGGTGAACTGGAGAGATATGAGCTTTTGCAGGTAAACCCTGTTGTTGTGATCAACCATCCAGGTTTATTTTGACAAAAGCACGAAGAATGATGAGAATGTCCGATCTGTGTCAAGAAATGAGCCAAAGCTATTGATAAAGATCTTTGCCCTTTTGGAGACACTGACTGTTTAAATGAGAAAGGAATTTCGACTGAAGCCTGAGTGAACAGTTTTGGAAGCGATATGAGCTTTTGCAGGTGAGCTATAGTGTTGTGCTAAACTGTAAGAGTGTTTTGCCAAATGATCTTAGTTTGAGAATGTAATTTCTGTTTCAAGAAATGAGCCAAACCAATGGAGATAAACTGTTTTCTGTTATGTAAATCAAACTAACATAACCTGCAGATCCGCCACCAGGGGGCAGCAGATGTGCGTGGCACTGGATCTGGCAGGTTTCTGTTGAAGGTGCTAACCCTGATGCTCCATCAGGAAGCTTTAAGCTCAGAAGGAGTTTGATAATGAATTATGATGATGGTCCAGAAGGGATTAAGGCTTTTTCCTGTTCAAGAGTCCGGCAGCATTTAGGATGTTTACTGTTGATTCAGAGATTCCTAAACCCCAAACTCATCCTATTAAACCTGCGATTAGCCTCAGGACCTGGGTCATTGAACGCATCGTTTTAAATGTAGACTTGATTTCCTCCTCCTGACAGAAACACATCGTTTCTGACTAAGCTCTGATCTGAGAGCAGTTTATTTTAACCAGCACGGATCTTTGTGTCAGAGCCGTCAGAGAGCTCCTGAAACCCCCATCATCGTGTTTCGCTGTATGAGCTTCAAACTCCAGCTGGGTGAGTCCAGCTTTTTAAAAGGAGCTGTTCTCATTATGCTTGAGAGAGAGAACAACGGCTTTTAGCTGAATCTGTCCACCCACTCGCACCAGAAACGCTATCAGTATGTAAACGAGCCTGACACTCAAACAGTTACAGGTCTCGGTGACTCAGACGAGTGGTGAGACATCAGATTCAGGCGTGCATGTCCTCAGACTGGGATGAGAAGATCAGACGGGTTTAATCTGGTTTTATTTACGCGGTGAGAAGAAAAGGTAGAAAGACAAGATAGAAAAGAAGAAATAAGAAACATTGTAAAAAACTGTGGAAACAAACAATCAACTGATTACGAGGACTTGGATATGATGACTGTAAAAGCTATAGTAGAATCTGTTATTGATCCGTTTACTTATATCTGTAATCTGTCACTTTCAACAGGAATTTTCCCTGACACAATGAAAATTGCAAAGGTGGTTCCATTGTTCAAGGGTGTGTTGTTGAGATAATCAAATTTGTGTACTCATGTTCTAAGATGTGTAAACTGAAGTGTTATTGAGAAGGTTGTACTTTTAGTTTTTCACCACCAGAGGGGCATGCACACTGCGTCATGGCATAACGGTCGTTAAGGAGAACGTGGTCTCCGGTGTGGATGTGTGTGTCGCAGTTCTAAACTAAAGACACCAGAAGAAAGCATTTTGGTCCCATCTTTTCTTTCTTCGAGTTCAATGTTGTTGATGCTGCAACGCTCAACAGGTTATGGGCCCAGGAGCAACTCGAGGCGGAGTCGTTTTTTTTTTTCTTGTCTGAAGGATCCAGAAAGCCTCGTTGAGACGGAGGGCTAATGGCTAAAGCAGCGACATGGATCAGCGAGGAGCAAGCAGACTGCCTCTACTTATGTTAGACGGAGACGAGACTAAATACGAGCTTTGGGAAACAAAAGTGTTAGGACATCTGCAATTATTAGGATTAAAAAACACCATTCTGAGGGAACCGAACGGACATGGTGTCATGTTGGGCTGCAGCTTTTTGACCCACGACATGCAGAATCATGCACGGAGACAAAGGTAAGTAAAAAAAAAAGTTTTATTTTTATGTACGATGGAGGTGATGGTCTGAGATCCGATGGTTCCGGTGGAGTTCTAGAACGGAGATAGGCGTGAGTATTTGCAGATTTGACCGTGAAAGGAATGAGTTTGTAGCTTACAGTTTCCTGGTTGTTGGTAAGGCTTAGAGGGGGTAGGCAAGTCACGGCTGGCTGAGCTGGTCGAGCGAGAGTCAGGTGTGGCTGGGAGCTGAGTACCAGAGTTCGGGGTGTCCAAGTTGGCAGGTGGGGATTGGAGAGCAGGCGGTCAGGGGTGAGCGACGGGATTGGCAGACAGGGTTGGAATCCGGTGAATTTTCCTGCAGCTGATGGAGGTTTGGTTGGTGGAGGAGAAGTTTCCTGAGGAGGTCGGAGGAGAACAGGACAGATAATTTCAGGAAGGCGAGATACACAAAAAAATAACAAGTTTTCAGGCATAAGCAAGGTGCTGGCAAGAGTTCTACCCAATGCTGAGTATCATCCGGTACTGATGAGTTGTCCCAACGCTCCTTAAATCCCTTGACCACTGATGAACAAATAGGTAGCAGCTGCTCTCCAGACACACCCACCTGCACACAGAGAAGACTCAGCACAACACAGTTAGACTCAGCGCAAACCATGACAGTACCCCCCCTCAAGGGCCGCCACCCGGCGGCGAAGAGGAGGAGGAGGTGGAGGAGGAGGAGGCACGGGAAGCGTCAAACTCCCGGATGAGGGATGGGTCGTCAATCCAAGAACCGGGGATCCATTGACGGTGCTCCGGGCCATAACCCACCCAGTCAACCAAGAACTGGCGACCTCGGCCACGGGGTCTGGCATCTAGCAGGCTACGAACCCGGTAACCCATACTACCATCAGCAAGACGGACAGGCGGCGGAATATCAGAGGCAGAAGCGGGACATAGCGAACTGGATGACACAGGCTTGATGAGAGAGACATGGAAGACTGGATGGATCTTGAGCGAGGGAGGCA